TGACTGTTTGGTTTGAGTGTTTGAAAAATAACTAAATTGCAGATATTTGTGGATAAATGACCATTATACCTCTGAACTAAAAAACTGTTAAACTGTTTGGTTTGTGCGATTTGAAAACAGCTGATTTGCAGCTGTTTTTGAAAAAAATGACCATTTTGGCCTCTCATTGTGGTGTTGTTTGCAACTGTAATGTAATGAGAACACATTTAATATACTAAAATCCGAAAAACACTGTATAACAATTCAAAGAAACAAAGATAGCAGGGTTATAGCATCACATATTCTCATTTTAAAATTTCTTCCATACAAAGGAATTGTGAAAACCATGATTGGCTCGCATCAAAGCCACCAGAACCATCCCTGGTGGCACAAAAATAATTAAAGGGGCAGTTACATACCTACCACCCAATTTCTATAACCTTACATCTCTAGCACCAAAACTTTACATTTAACATTTATAGAAGCCAACTCATTCATATCACATAAAAAATACCACCATTCTCACTTTAAAAGGAGAAGGTAAGAGTTAATGACAAAACTAACCAAATAAGCCAACCTATTGCCCTTAAAGAATATGGGTCATCCAAGCTGCAATTGCTAAGGCTGCTCAAACCATTACATAGCAACCCTAAAGAACATCCAGCAACCACAACAAAAAAAAAAGTATAGATTGCTTCAAACTAACTACAAAGAGATGATAAAGCAAGGAAAAATTTTCTTCCTTTTGCTTGGTTGAGATCATCCTTATTTAAAGAATGATTATTACTTATAATCTTCCTTTAAGAAGTAATAATCAAGATTATTAGTAACTAATTAACAAAATTAATTACAATATATATGACTTTTTTAATTGGTGGTGTAGTGTCATCCATTTGGGCTTTTTAAACTTCCTGAACTATTTTTGGCTTTGTATTCGGCTGGGGTTTCATATCAGATTGAGAAGACTGTCACTTCTGGATCATTTATATCCAAAGAACAAAAAAGCATTTTCATTGTTCAACAAGTTTTATGAAGGCTGTATTAGGTACAATCCATTAGAATTCACATAAGAAAACTTTCTACCAATTTTAAAATATTTAGAGCCGGTTTTGGATCGATTAGGAAAAATTTTGCAGCAGAGAGTAGCCATGTACAGGCTACACGCTGAGATTTTCATACATTACAGAACCTGATATTTATAGAAAGAATATGAAACTATTGTTGGGTTAAAAAGCAGCAACGTATATGATGGTTTACAGAGCACTTGTCCGGTTAAAGCAAAACAACAGAAAATTTTAGCATTTAACAGTTTACAGTTGATACAACAGGCAATAAGAAGTCCCGTTTAAAGGAATATAAAAGAAAATGAGTTATGGTAATGGGTGAATCACTACAGCTCTTGTACAAAGTACTTGAAATAGTAATTTGTTGGATTAGGAATCGTTTGACATCCATAAATCTAAAAAAAAAAAGCATTAAAGACTTCCACAACCCACCAGGAATTCATAAACTTTCTGGTTGGAACGCTTCTGTTGAATCTCATAAAAATGAAATAAAGACTTCCAGATTTGCATCACAACTACCTCCACATGGATACTGTTCTCTTTGGCGAAGAAAATGAGCTGTGATTTGCAGTTCGACAGCTCAAAAAAAAAAAAAAAAACTGATCTGAATCAGGAAGTTGTAGAGAAAGAAATGTCATAGAAGAGGAAGAAGAAATGTGGAAGGTTTTCCTGTCGTGTGCGAAGAAGAGGGAGGAGCGGATTGGGCAGAGGATGCGATCAAGGGAGATTAATATTTTGCGAACGAACGCGGACCGCAGAGCGATCCTCGCGGGCCGCGTGTTTCAAAAATACAAAACGTCAATTTTGGATAAGTCACGGAAAAGCGCGAAACAAACGGAGAGGCGACATTTTCAAAACGCCGCTTGCACTTATAAGCTGCCCCAAATGGACCCTTAGTAAGCATGCCTCGAGAGATGGAGCAAGAAAGAAAAGAGAGATCACAAGTCTATGAGTCCCGATGTAATGAGTGTGTAACGCTTTATTCATAAAACAATCGTTATTTATAGTCATAGGTGACTCAGGTTTACAATTACATTGTTATCCCACTTTATCTGATCGCTTAGAGAGTATTTATTATCTTTTTCATATCTTGCATAGTTAATATAACTACCCCTTTAATACAAATAACTAAATGAGTACCACTTTCATGAATAGTTGCAACCATCGGATATAATAAATGACTAGACAAGTAATTTTTACTTCTAGTTGTCGGTCGCTTAATTTCTAATCGATTTTGTCGGTCGGCCAATTCAACCTGTTGTTTAGGTTCGATGGGATTACCGACCAACCGTGCAAGTGTGTTGATTTAGTCAGCCGCTTGATAATCTTTGTATGCAATTTCAATTGGAAATCGTGAAGTCCCTTCGAACTGCTTGCTTTTTAAGATTCGTGCTGAGATTTTTTCTTTATGCATATTATTTTCCTGATTTTCTTGCTCCTTGTCAACTACAATAAGGATAAGAAAATGTTTAATTAAATTTCATCAAAGAGAAATGATTATTTCCTAGTTTTTGTGCTCATAAAATCTCTACAAATCAGGTCTGTAATCTTCACTTCTCATCCTGATATTAGATTTCAAACACAATAATGTCTGACATGAGAGCTCTGGACCGTTTTGATGACCATGGGCTCCTAATGGCTCTCGAAGAGTTTCATCTCCCTCCTCAGCCTCTTCCTATTTCTGCAAACAAAAAAAATGAAAAAGAAGATGGTAGCGGTGAGGAAGAAAAAACACAAGAACCATGTAATCAGCTTAAATGACCAGGCTGTGCCTTCCATTGGCCCTAATGTCGATTGATCATAAAAAGTAGCAAGAGAAGAGAAAGATCAAGGGCCTCTAGCTCCTCTCGTGGATCCTATTTCGATCGTCGAGGAAGAGTATCATCAGGTAGATCCGTTTACTCAGGAAGTATTTGTTGTTCTAGAACAACTAGGTACACCAACGATTTCCAACATTCCTCTGTCTGAAGTGTAGAAGAACGACACTTCTATAAAAAATTTACACATTTCTTTCGGATTGAGTAAGGATGTTAGGATTCTAACCAATTTGTGTGTTTGGTCGGTCGATGTTGTTGTTGATCCTACAATTCCAACAATTGTGATTCATAAGCCAACCGAAGAGATCCAACAACCGACTGGTGATGCGATCAATTAGTTAATCAATCTTTTCAATACTACCCAAGGAAAGAATGGTTGCTTGGCAGCAGTCTTCCGGGTCGTTGAAACATAAAGTGAATTAAAAGTTGGATTCTTTTGAGCGGGCAAACAAAGGATCAGACAATGACGTTATTCGAGATCTACAGACTCGAGTTGAGAGAATGAAAGGAGAAATGCACATCCTCCGTGAAGAGGTGATGGTTCTCCGAACAGACCTATAGGTCGGGTCGGACTCAACAAGAGGTCGATTGGGGCAATTATTTCAAGCAAGACGACAAACTGTATCTTAAGTGGCTATTTAGTCGAGGAAATGTCTCTGACCAAGTGGCCAAAAACTCTTTTGTTAAATATTTTCTTTTTGTTTAGCCCATGTAACTATTTTTTGTTTTATTAAATAATTAATTTCTAATATATTTATTATTATATATGTATATTGAAGTGATGTGTTGTGACTAGGGCTGTCAAAACGGCCCGTTGTTAACGAACAACTCGTGTTCGGCTCGTTAAGAAGCTCGTGTTCAGCTCGTTAATTTCGCTCAATAAGTTAACGAGCCGAACACGAACTAAGATGTGTTCGTTTGTGTTCGGCTCGAAAAAAAAATCTAATTGACTACAAGGCTACAAAGATTTATAATCAATTAAAATATTGATTAAAAAAATAGAATAAAAATTATTAAATTAGATTCAAAGCGATGTTTTAATATAAATAATAATTTTTAAATCTTGATCAAACTCTTACTGTCTTATGGCTACATGATTAGGGTTGTTCTAAGGACTCTTTGTTCGTGACCAGCTCGTGTTCGGCTCGTTTAACAAAAAAACCGGACACGACAATTTTTGAGCTCGAAATATAAACGAGCCGAACACAAGCTGAGCTTGGCTCACTCGTGTTTGGCTCGTTTACGCCCCTAGTTGTGACCCCTTTTTCGAATATCAGGACATTTATAATGAAGTCCTTCTGGCGTTTTAACTCCCACACATATCTTAAAATAAATAGATTAAGGAGCCTTGTACATGAAACTTTTCCAAACCCATTTAATTCTTCCATGGTTTCCTTTTTCCCTACTGGTTCGTAAGTACTCTTCAAAGATTTTTGGCACTTACCCTGCGGTCGATTTTTCTTAGTGGAAGATGACAAGCAGAACTTAATTAAATACGTATTTGACAATACTGTGAAACTTCGAGTCGTTTGGAGTTTCGACTGAGCGACAAGCAAGTTTGGAGATAACCTGGTGTTTTATTAGGATCAATTTCAATGCAGTTTGAGGCTCCCATTATGTACCGAGCTGAAAGGCATTTTCAATTGGTATGGAGTGATTCCAACGCAAGACATGTCAAACTCAATCTTCAAAATCATGACGTTCATCGTCTTTTGCCACTGTTCACGGTCGAATGACTTGTTTAACTACTATTTTTCATTCAAGATTGATGAGGGTCTCGCCCAATTCGCCGTCGGTTACATACCCCAAATTTTAGGATTAGAGAGCAAGATAAAGAGGCATTTACATAAAGGCCACCCAAGTCCAATGTATTTACATATCTAACACCTATACTATGCTTTTTTACATTTATACCACCCAAATCTTTCATATCACATAAAAAAATACCACCAGATTAACTTTTAACAAGTGAAATACACATTTTCATGCATAAGTAAAGTGGTATATATATGCAAAAATTAAAATTTAGGTAGTTCGGCGAGATTAAAATACAGACCTGAAACTTCAAATTCTAGATTTTTCAACGGCCAAACCGGCTAAAACTTCTAGTTTCTAAAGGAAACTGTCCCAAATTGCAGGATTTTTTTTTTTTTTGGGTTAACGAAATTGAAAACTCAAGTTCTATAAAGCATTGTACATTTGTTTTTTTAAAGCTTATGAACCAATCAATATTCGAGAGGAAGCAGAATTAGACCAGCTCTGCTGCTATGGAGGACAATATTCAAATTGCATATATACCAGAAAAGGGCTTGCCTGGAAATATCTACCCCACAGATTAAAGAGAATGGACTCGCTCAGTTCCGCCTAATCTGTCTCAATCGAGTCCGGGTCCGGGAAAAAACGTGTAGGTAATTCGGCAAGCCGCGGACGAAGAAGAACATACAATGCCGGCCCCAAAAGCGGAATGACTGACAAAAATAGAAGCCATAAACCTTTATCTACCCTGTTTCCAGAAAACTAATATAAGATGAGCCATTCAATGTTAGGCTTATAATTAAAAGGGTCATTTAAATACATACCACCTATTCTCATGTATTTACATATCTAAAACCTAAACATTGCATTTTTACATCTATACCACCAAAAATTTTCATAGTACATCTAAAATACCACTATTTTAAGTTTTAAAAAGTGATGCATATTTTCATGCATAGGTAAGGTGACATATGTAAAGACAGAAGAATTTTGTGGTATGTATATAAATCTGCCAAATTGAAAAAATTGAATTGCCAGATTTCTGAATTATTTCTAGCTCTATTCTGTGGTTATGATAAATAAAAGTTCTGCCATTCTCACCATCTCCTGGAAGTCATGTCATTGTAAATCCAAAAAGGTGCGAAAGATGAGAGCAGCACAAAATCGAGGCTCATAACATGAATCTGCAATACATAAAATTTCAGCTGCTAGAATAAATCTTACACAACACTGTGGACTCGTTTGAGGAAGCTTTTCTGCTCCTTTCCGTTTCATAAAAAGTCATTTCTTCATTTGATGAGTTTGGTTATTATGCTTTTTTTAGAAACGCTTACAATAAAAACTCCATTTTATGTTTTCTATCATATTTTAATAAGCGGCTTTTGTAAAACCAGCATTTTAACAGGCTTTTTTAAAAGAAGCAGCCAACCTAAACAAAGCCTATCACTAGATTTTGATAGAAAACTTTGGCAATATTGCATTAATTTTTGAACAAACATATCACATAAATATGCTAATAAGAGAAGTAGACTGCCTCAATTAATTTGAAAAGCATACTTACAAATTTACTCTCTCTGAAGTATTGGTAAAATTCTGTCCACACATCTCCATTGGCAAAGAGAGCATATGCCACCAAGCTTAAACCTGCAGCAAGCACAACCTGAATGGAAATGGAGTTAATTTTGCCCTAGAAACATCATACTATTGTATAACAAAAGAAGTCATATATGTGTATATAAGTCTTAAAGTAATTTAAATCAAAGTTTAATTTTAATGAAAGTTTAAGGAATACAACTTGCCATGAATTCTGCAACTCCATCCCTCAATAAGAAAAGCATGAATATAAAGTTGACCAATGGGTTTGGTACAGCATGGCCTACATAGGGATGCGTATGAATTTGGATTGAATTGAATTTACTATTTCAATGTTTGGTTTGAATTGTTTTTGCTAAAGACAATTAACATGTATAGATGGAAGGTTCATGCATAAATAAAGTTTATATATTGAGTTCAAATGTTGTTCAAGACAAATAACATAAATACAAATTTGGTTTTGGAATATAGAGTTTTGAGGGTTTTCAGTTTACCGATGCGCTTATCCTTGATTCCAAGAAATTCAAAGGCCATTTTCTAATTTCATCTTCTCCAATGGCTGGTGGTGGTGGCTTCCAAAGAACAAAATAGGGGATAAGAGCATATGCACCACCAAAGATAGAGAGAAAAAGGAACGGCCATACAGGAACCTTGCTTCTTGAGCTGAAAAAAGATTGCCAAAAATTAAGGTTCAACTCATTTGAAAAGGATCTTAAGTTCTGATTTTATTTACAAAATATGCACAAAACAATAGTAAGACAAGTCTTCCTTTTCATGGAAGAAAGAAAATATTATCTAAATTTTTTGATAATAAGGAAATCTTACCGGATACATCTCAATATAAAAAAAAATGATGATGAAGCAATAAAATTATCAATTGAAACTAAATTCATATCTCCAAAATTTAAGAGAACCACAAGGTATCAAGAAAAGCCATCTTAGTTCTTGTTTCACAAACAAGTTACTGTTGTAGTATTATCTTTCATAATTGATGCCAACTATAAATCTTTAAGAAAATAAAAGAAGTTAGCCTAAGCAGCGAGATAAACTTGAAACATACATCCCCGTCTAACGGAACAAAATAATATCATTTTCATCACATGGTTATAATATCTTCAAACTCTTGGAAAATCAAACCAAACGACTAAGGTAAGACATCCATGACTGAATTTCTACTGAGTCTGATTCTATAACTCAAAAATGCTAGATTTCCAATCTTTCTAATTAAAATTAGCATACCAACTAATAAAATCAGTCGATGCATATCTCAATGTGATGTATGTCACAGCGTCAAGTGAAAGTGATGCCAATGCTAAGCAAAGCCATCAGAAACGAGGATTTTTGTAAATGTAACTATTGCAATGATGGAGACAGCTCATACTCTAGAATGAAACTCAAAAAGCCATTAGGTTGTCGCCAAAACTTTGAGAATCTTTTATCATGGAGCACACTAACTCAAAAAATTATTTAATAGTCATGATGGAAAATCAACTCTATAAAGTTGTACTTAAAGAAGTAACTGTTCTTGAAAAACTTATTCTATTCATTAACCACTTAGGCTTATATAGGGCCTTAAAAAGCTTTACAAATAAATCCCGAGATTTCTTCTATATTTCCTATTTACAATTAGGACTCTAAACTAGATACAAACCTCAATACTCTCCCTCAAGATGGTCAAAAGATACTCACTAAGCCCATCTTGTCACATAACTTAGACAAATCTAATGAGCTATGTCATTTTGTGAGACAGTCAAACAGTTGCTCTCTAGTGATTATATGACGTAGCTCCAGCTGTTCGTAATTCAGCTTTTCCTTGATGAAGAACCTAGCAATCTCCTAATGTTTGGTTCTACATGTTGCACCGGGTTGTTGGCAATGTTGATTGTTGATTTATTGTAGCACCACAACTTCATTTGAGCTCCTTGGTCCACCTTTAGTTCTACCAATAAGGTTTTCAGCCACATCATCTCAATAACTTTAAGGCCATGATCTATATGTTGCCCTTGTTGTTGACCTTGCTACTACCGACTGTTTCTTACTCTTCCAAGAGACCAAATTTCCCCCTACAAACATACAATATCTGAATGTGGACCTCCTATCATCAGAACAGTTCACCCAGTCAGAGTCACAATACCCCTCGGAGCCTACATGTTCATTCTTCCTGAAGATCAACCTCTTCCCTGATACACAGCATCCATGTGGATGTTGGCCCTTCCTCGAATCATGCATGTAACAACTCACCGCGCTTACTGCAAATGATACGTCGCGACGAGTGTGACTCAGATAGATGAGACGACCTACCAACCTCTGGTACCTCACGATCAACTGCTCTCTTGCCACTGCAATCAACTTTTCCTTTTAATTAATTGGTAAAATTGCAGGCTTGCATCCCAACATGCTTATCTCTGTGAGCAAGTCTAGCACATACTTCATCTGAGATAAGACAAACCTCTCTGCTCCACGAGCCACCTCAATCCTAAGAAAATATCTAAGTTGTCTTAGGTCCTTCATCTCAAACTCATTGTCCAATCTTACGTTTAGCAGCACAATCTCTCCCTCATCATCACCAGTGACAATCATATCATCCACATACACGGCAAGTATAGCGGTGTGACCATCATTTCGTTGAATGAACACTGTGTGGTCGACATTGATCTGCTGATAGTCCATGTTTACCATTGCTCTGAACCTGTCAAACTAAGCTCGAGTAGACTGTTTCGAACCATACAAGGACTTACTCAGTCTGCATATCTTGCCCACTGTTTATTTTGTACCGAAGCCTACGGGTGTCTCCATTTATACCTCCTCCACCATACAACAATGAAGAAATGCATTCTTCACATCCAATTGGTGTAATCTTCATCCACCATTCATAGCCAAAGAGATGAGAGTCTAGATGTGCTCATCTTCACCACTGGTTCAAACGTCTCATTATAATTGATGTCATATGTTTGAATATACCCTTTCGCCATCAACCGTGTTTTATAACAATCAATTTTTCCTTCTGAGGTCTGCTTCACAGTGAAGACCCATTTGGACCCGATTCTTTTTCCGTGTTGGCAGCAACATGAGCTCCACTGTCTTATTCTTCTCGAGAGCACCACGTTCCTCCAGCATGGCAGCCTTCCACTTTGGATCTTACTTAGCTACCTGTCAACACTTGGGTATAGATACAGTGTCCAAAAATGTAATGAATGCTTCATATACAGGTTATATGTTAGAGTATAAGATAAACTAAACAATATCATGTGAGAAACCAAAACGATCCGGAGAATGACCCGCATTACTGCGAGAGGTCCTCAAGTCATAGAAGTGAAAGGAGAAGGGAGAGGAATCATAGAGATTTGATGGCACGAGTGGCACAACGAACAATGTTAACGAACATTGTTCCCTCATTTTGCCTCCTCATCCTTGTATACACTCTCAGTTCCCCTTGAGCTTGAATCCCACCACCTTCGAGCACATTTCTCTCATTATTCGTCTCTTCCTCAGCTTCATTTTTCTCATTGTCTAGCTCTTTCTCAGCAGATCCTTCTCGCACAACGGGACAAAGCATTGTACCCAAATGTACCAATCGCTCAACATTACTACTCTCCTCTCGCCTCATATCTCCAATATCTGGTAAGTCACAAAAGGGTTAGGTTACCTCCAAGGAATAGTATGGTTCGAATTCTCTGAACGTCACATTCATACTGACATACAGTCTCTTCTCTATTGGGCTCTAACAAACATAGCCCTTCTACATAGCAGAAAAACCTACAAAAGCACACTTTACAACTCTGGGATCCGACTTTTCTATTGATGGTCTATTGTCATTCATAAAACATACATAACCAAATATCTTCAATGAAAGGATCTCGTCATTACCTCCTTGCAACAACTCGCAAGGAGAATACCACTTCAACACACTTGAGGGCATTCAATTGATCAATTGAACGACTAACAAAGTTGTTTGTCCAGACAAGTGCTTTTGGACATTCATTAAGATCATCATGTTTCGAGCTACCTTTAGGTGTCTATTCTTCATCTCCGCTACTTCATTTTATGTTGGTGTATATAGACATATCGTTTGATGTTGTATCCCTTGTGCTGATATGTACTCCTCAAACGTCTTGTTGGTATACTCTGCTCATTATCAGACCTCAATACCTTCAGTTTGAATCGCCCTGTGAAAGTTTTTAAAGCAAGCACATCACTTTTGTTACTCATTAGATATAGTCAAGTAGCACGAGAAAAGCAATCAATGAACATCACAAAATATCTAGAATCATTTAACGAAGTTGTAGAACAACATCCCCATACATCTAAATGCACCAAATTAAAACACAAGAACTCTTCTTACTAGAATTCACATAAGAACTCATGGTATGCTTACCAAACTCACAAGCATCACACACAAGTTTTTGTTTATTTGTCTTTTCATACATAGACTAATACAAACGACTCAAAAGACTAAAAGAAGAATGTCACATGCGCCTGTGATGTAGCACCTCCACATTCTTCACACCTCCCAGATCCTCCTACTACAACACTCTCTATCATGGATGTCAAAGTTGGGTCCATCCCCTCTCTATCCAGGTACCAAAGTCCCCCCTCTTAAAAGATCACCTTCAAAATATCAAATGAAAAAATAAATTTTTGCCCAGAATAAAAACACTAATAGATAAAAGGCTTACTGGAAAGGAAATTAGAAGCAAAATATTGTACAAAGTCATAGAAATTAGTACCCCTCATTGTACCCTTATCAACCACAGGTTGTTCTGTGCCATCAATGGTTTGAATAGTCTCTAAAACTACTAGACGAGTATAAGAAGAGAATCCCCTAGCGTTTCCTGTCATATGTCCAAATGCACCAGAATCTCTATCCATTCTGATGTTCTTGTGATGGATATAAAGGCAAAATTATATGTATTATGAGAATCTTTGGCTGAGTGAGCATAAGTAGCAATGTTGTTCTTGAATGATGATAAGATGGATGCATCCTCAGTCACATCACCCACCGCTCTCTGCTTCCTCTTTAATATCTCCAAGAACTCATGATCTTTATCGGCAAAGACCACCTCTGTCTCACTATCATCTTTCGCAGCCTTCAGATCAACCCAATAGTCCCCTCTACCTCTTTGGCCTCCACGACAACGACCACACCCTCTAGACTGTCCATATCCATCTGTCTCTCTCTCCTTGGGTGGCTTTGAACAAACCTTACTTAGATGTTCCACTTCTCCACAGTTGAAACACTTGTGGGTCTCCCCCTTAGCACATGTCATACTTAAGCTCAAGGCAGCCGAAGCAGATCGCGTACCTAAAAGTACACTCGGCTCAAAGTGTAGCCTCATGTGACTCTCCTCCTATATCATTGTCGTGATGGCCTCACCCAGTGAAGGGTCGTTGTCTGGGCTAGGAGGACTGATCTCCTCTAATCAAAGGTCGAGTTCAGATAAGCCAGAAACAACATAGTCCTCATATGTGCAAAGATCTCCCCTTTCTTGTACTCTAGATCACCACAACTCGACAGAGGTGAGAAGTGATCAAGATCTTGTCATAGTCACTCTAGCTCTATGGAGTACTCCTTAATCCATCTATTACCATGCATCATTGCCTATATGTTACGCAGAATCTGGAACGCTCTCATGTGGTTCTCAGTCCCAGTATAGGTCCTCTCC